ACAAAAAGCAGGTAACTATAGGCCAATTAGCTTAACTTCGGTAGTGGGGAAAATGCTTGAATCTATCATTAAGGAAGAAAAAGCAAGACATCTGGATATAAGTTGTCCCATTGGGAACACCCAGCATGGGTTCATGAAGGGTAGGTCATGTTTAACTAATTTGGTGGAATTCTTTGAGGATATTACTTGCATGATGGACAATGGGGAACCTGTGGATATGGTGTATCTGGATTTCCAGAAGGCACTTGACAAGGTGCCACACTAAAGGCTGCTACATAACGTAAAGTTGCACGGTATTACAGGTAATGTATTGGCATGAATAGAGGATTGGTTGACCAGTAGAAAGCAAAGAGTAGGGGTAAATGGGTGTTTTTCTCGTTGGTGGTCAGTGGCTAGTGGTGTGCCTCAGGGATCAGTGTTGGGACCGCAATTGTTTACAATTTACATAGATGATTTGGAGTTGGGGACTAAGTGTGGTGTGTCAAAATTTGCAGATGACACTAAGGTGAGTGGCAGAGCAAAGTGTGCAGAAGACACTGAAACTCTGCAGAGGGATATAGATAGTCTAAGTGAGTGGGCAAAGGTCTGGCAGATGGAGTACAATGTTGATAAGTGTGAGGTCATCCATTCTGGTAGGAATAACAGCAAAATGGACTATGTTTTAAATGGTAAAAAATTGCAGCACGCTGCTGTGCAGAAGGACTTGGTTGTCCTTGTGCATGAATCGCTGAAGGTGGGATTGCAGGTGCAGCAGGTAATTAAAAAGGCAAATGGAATTTTGTCTGCCATTGCGAGAGGGATGGAGTTTAAAAACAGGGAGGCTATGCTGCAGCTGTATAGGGTGCTGGTGAGGCCACACCTGGAGTACTGTGTGCAGTTTTGGTCTCCTTACTTGAGAAGAGATATACTAGCACTGGAGGGGGTGCAGAGGAGATTCACTCGGTTGATTCCAGAGTTGAGAGGGTTGGATTATGAGGAGAGACTGAGTAGACTGGGATTATACTCATTGGAATTTAGAAGAACGAGGGGAGATCTTATACAAACATATAAGATTATGAAGGGAATAGATAAGGTGGAGGCAGGGAGGTTGTTTCCGCTAGCAGGTGAAACTAGGACTAGAGGGCATCGCCTCAAAATAAAGGGAAGCAGATGTAGGACTGAGATCAGGAGGAACTTCTTCACCCAAAGGTTTGTGAATCTGTGGAATTCCCTGCCCAGTGAAGCGGTTGAAGCTACCTCGCTGAATGTTTTTAAGGCAAGGCTAGATAAATTTTTGAACAGTAAAGGAATTAAGGGTTATGGTGAGTGGGCGGGTAAGTGGAGCTGAGTCTCAAAAAGATCAGCCATGATCTTATTAAATGGTGGGGCAGGCTCGAGGGGCCGGATGGCCTACTCCTGCTCCTAGTTCTTATGTTCTTATGTTCTAAAATTTTAAAAGAAACCTTACATCACGGTTGATTCACAGGGAAGGTTTACCAGGTTAATGCTTTGAATGGGCGAGGCAAGGTGACTTATGAACAGATGTTGGAGAGGATAGTCTTGTATCCACTGGAGTTCAGAAGAGAAAGAGGCAAATTGAATGAAACATATGATTCTGAGGAGCCTTCAGTGTGGATGTGGACAAAATGTCCCCTCCTATGGGAGAATTAAGAATGTTTGACAAGTGGTCGTCCAATTAAATTAAAGATGGGGCATAACTCTTTGGAACTCTCCTCCTCAAAAACCTTTGAATATTTCTCAGACAGAGGTACATAGATTCTTGATAAGCAAGGGAGTGAAAGGTTATTGAATGTGGTGGGAATGTGGAGTTATCATAGAACATAGAACAGTATGGCACAGTACAGGCCCTTTGGCCCACGATGTTGTACCGAACTTTTACCCTAATCCTAAGGTCTATCTAACCTCCACCCCTACCTTATACTATCATCCATATGCCTATCTAGTAGCCGCTTAAATGCCCCTAATGAGGCCGACTCCACTACCCTCTCTGGCAAAGGTGAGCCATAGTCTCATTGAATGGCAAAGTAGGCTCGAGGGGTTTTCATACAGCACGAGAAGAGACTTTGGACCATAGTTGTCATGGAGATGCAGCAGGTATTGTCAGTCTTAGTTAGCTGATTAAATTCAGACTAAGCTGAATTCTGACTTGCTGCTGAGTGTGTTCTTATTCGCCTACCAAAGGGTATGGGCAGGTAGCAGGAACAGGAGTTGGACAATCAGCCATGATCATATTGAATGATGTGGAGGTGCCAGTGTTGGACTGGGGTGGAAAAAGTCAGAAGTCACACAACACCAGGTTAAAGTCCAACCAGTTTATTTGAAATTGCAAGCTTTCGAAGTGCAGCTCCTTTGTCAGGTGAAGTGGAGTGAAGCGCACATTCTTCTTCTGCATCTATATTCCAAAGTTTCAATTCAAATTGACTCTGCCTGATAACCTTGAATTGTTGAGTGCACTGCTATAACATATTTAACAATAGATTCAAACATTGGGCTAGGAAACTGGAAATTGTGGAACTGATGTAGATTATCAGAAGAATAAGTGGGTAGTGAAATAACTTCACAGAGGTCAACATCCCATTACCAAGACACCCTTTATTTACGCATGGTGACTGGACCAGATTGACAGCCCCAGTCAGGAAACTTATATTCCATGAGGACCAACTGGTTGACATCATTACAACCATTCCATCGCTACCCCTCTAAGTCCAGGGACATAGGCCTGTTCTTTACCTGGAGCATCTCCTGGGGTGTTTCCGCATTGGGTCAAGTTTGTCTGGCTCAGCCTCAGATACGGGTGATGTGTCCCGGACTGTACCCCGCCTCTTGCATCCTCTTGAATCTTGGAGGAAATTCATCATCTACTTCAGGGGATAAAGGCATTGAGGCTGTGGCATCTGCCTTATCCATCTCAGACTCCAATGTTTCTTCGAAGCTAGATGGAGGGATCAAGCTCAATATTCCAACAGTCTTTCGGCTGTTCTGAGGAGCAGGGCACGTTTTGCTGCTGCCCCGTTTGTGAGTTTGCCATCTTCATGTGGCCCACGTGCTTGTTCAGGACTGCCTCATCTACCCAAACTTTGTATGTCGTGGGATCTGACCTCGCGTCGACCATGCTTCTTACCTATGCAGGGCTATTTCCGTGGTTTCGTCACCAAACCTTGTCCCTGAATTAACTGTCTCTCTCGCTTACAGAAGTCTAGTGTCCAGCATTGGCATTCCTGATGCCGCTTCACCTTCCCCACCCCCAGGTCTGGGAAGATCATATGTAACCTGGTGCTGAGTCTTCTCCCCATTAGCAACTCCGTTGTAGCTATCCTTGTAGTTACATGAGGTGTGGTCCGATAATCAGACAGGAACTGGAATAGTTTGGTATCAAGTGAAGCTATAAGTTGTTTCTTTAAGCCTGTTTTTAAAGTTGGGACTGTTCTTTCACCAGACCATCGGTTGATGGATGGTATGGAGTTGACTGATATGCCGAATGCCATTTAACTTTAGGAAATACTCGAATTCCCTGCTGGTAACTGATGGTCCATCGTCCATTTCCAGGAAGCCGTGTACTGCAAAAGATGCTTGCAGCTTTTCCATTGTCACCCCTGTGTTTGACAAATGAACTCTAACATCCAGCCACTTTTCATGGGCGCTCATGATGACTGAGAACATTGAGGCCATGAAAGGATAGGCAGAGTCGAGCTGGTATCAACCTCCATTAGAACCGGGAGACTATTTGACAAGATATTTATTTTGATTGGTTCTGTTTTGGATGTTGATAACTGTTCCAAGCCAGATGTAGTGGGCTTTCCGGGGTGTGCACCCTCCTGGATACTGGCCTATGAGTCCTCTTACTTAATTCAGGCCTAGTGGGACTTTTTTGCTGTCTCGAGTCCACATTCCGACAGCTACTACAATAGCTTACTGGTCCGGACCTTGAAGAAAATGTTAACGGTTTGGCTGAGGCTTGAGTTTGTTTTGGGGTTTTGTTGGGGACTGACCTAGGGTCCCTCAATTCAAGATATGTCTTGAGTGAGGCTATGCAATTGCCTTTACTCAAGTGGTGTTTCCCAAGCTCAGTCGGCCTGGTGAGGGTGTCCACTTCAATCAGCATACCCAATAACTCACATGCTCCACTTCCTGCACTTTCTAATGACAGACCCAGTTGTAGAGCCTGTTTAAAGTCCAGTTGTGCTTCAGGAATAGGTGCTTTTGCACGGATATGTCATTAATCCCACATACCAAATGATCCCTCACATCTCACTAAGGGTTAAATCAAGGTCACATGCCTCTGCCAGTTGTCTTAACCTAGTCAAAACTCCCGAGACGGATTCCCTTGGTTCTTGAATTGCCGAATAAAACTGATAGTATCTTAGAATTAATATAGACATGGAGTTATAATATTCCTTTATTAAATCCGCCAACTCTTGAAAGGTTTTAGTATCTAGTGCCTTAAGAAACATTAGTCTCCTAATAACCAGTAAAGCTGCGGGTCCACAAGCTGTCATGAGAATTACTCATTGGTTTTCATCTGCCCAAATGTCAACTGCCCAGAAAAAACTAATGCATTCTTTCCAGATATTGGACCCAGTCTTTGAAGGCAGGATCGAATGAGTCAAGCATCTCAAATAATGACATGGTGGTAAAAATGCTTATCCCACTCAAAGACGACTGCTGTAAGTGAATTTCTTCAGGAGCATATTTTATCTCTCATCATCACTGAAATAACTGCACAAAAGCTCGTAACCTGTCACCAGATCATAATTTATACACACATGCATATTACTTGACGCTGATCCAGCTACCTCAGAGCCAGCTTTCTGAGTGAACAGTATGTCTGACACTCCTGTTTCTATCTGCCAGCTGGGACTCCCTGATTGAACCAGATTAACAGCCCCAATCAGGGAACTGATATTCTCTGTGTCCCATCTGGCTAACCTTGTTACAATCACGAAGAGTAGAGACTGAACAAGGAAGGAAAATTGAATCACGATAGGAATAAATAAGTTCAGTGTAACAGCACCATCCTAATTAGCAAGTTTGACAACAAGGTGAAGGTTCGACCTGAGAGAAAGGAGTGCAGAATTTCAGAGGTAGTCAGGTTTATTCTTGCTACTCTGTTCATTTTATATACTATAGCTACTGCAATTATGATTGAACTGAACTGTGTTAAAATTTAAATAAAATTGTATCGAGCTGCTTTGTGATTTTTTTGGAACTTCGCTGCTGTTTTTTAGGAATTAAAACCTGTTGGCCACATGTTCTCATTCACCTGGTGTCAGCACTCGGGTATGATCGGTCACCTTCGTGTGCTTTCGGCACCATCGCTGCCCCTCACAAAGATGGCAGCAATGGGCAGTCAATCGTGACGAAAAGCCCCGACGAAAAGTCCCCTAACCGGATATTAGTTGGCTGAGAAAAACTCCTCGTGAAGTGAGACGCCGGTTGGGCGAAAACTCTGCTCTCTCGGAAGCGCCTTCATTCAGCAACACGCGAGAGGAAGATCTCCGGGAAATAGGGTTGAGGCATGATCCTGTGGGGTCGAATCATCAGGCGCTTGGGGTGGTCGGTCACAGGGGTCCTTTATGAGCCGGGTCGCAGTGGTGGTTGTTGCTGCTGGCGGGAGGCCTCCAGCAGTTTGCCGGCTCTTGGCCTAACTTCCCCCCCCCCCCCACCCCCACCCCCGCTGCAGCTTCATGAACAGGTAGGTCGCCAAAAACCAGCTTCCCATGAAGGCCATGAACCCCTGTCTCCATATCTAGGAGCCGCCGCAGCGTTGTCTTAATTCACTTGGACATTTCTGTCGGAGTCGCAGGCTTTGATCACATTATGTTTGTCTGTTTGTGTTTTGCATAGAGTTTATTTTTAAATTATTCACTCAAGGGACGTGGACATTGCTGGCTGGGCCCAACAATTTTTGTTGCCTATCTGAGTTCTGAGGAAGGACCCGAAATGTTATAACTCTGCTTTCTCTCTCCACAGATGCTGCCAGACCAGTTGAGTTTCTCCAGCAATTCCTGCTTTTTTCTGTTTCTGATTTCCGGCATCTGCAGTTTTGTTTTTAAAAATCTTTATTGCCCGTCCGTGGTTGACTTTGATTTATGGTGGTGGTGAGCTGCCTTCTTGAACCAATGCAGTCCATATGCTGAAAGATGACTTAAATACCTTTTTAGGGAGGGAATTCCAGGATTTTGACTCAGTGACAGAAAAGGAACAGCGGTGTATTTCTGGTCAGGATGGTGAGTGATTTGAAGGGGAATTTGCAGGTGGTGGTGTTCCCATGTATCTGCTGTCCTTGTCTTTCTAGATGGCTGTGGGTTTATTGAGACAACAAACAGAAATTGTTGGAGCAGCTGGGCAGGTCTGGCAGCACCAGTGGAGAGAAGAATACAGAGAGATGCTGCCAGACCTGCTGAGTTTCGTTGGCAAAATATGTTTTTGTTTCAGATCTCTGGCAGCCACAGTTATTTGTTTTATAATAGAATAGAGATTGGTTAATGGAAACCAAATGATGCAGTTTTCTAGGGGGTGCAGGAGCAGAGAGATATGGGGCAAGGAGTGGGATATATACACATAGACTTGAAGGCAAAAGCAAAATATTGCAGATGCTAGCAATCTGAATTTTTTTAAAAAATGAAAATGCTGGGGAAACTTGGCAAGCCAGGCAGCAATTGTGGAAAGAGAAACAGGATATGTGACAGGATATGTTCTTATCAAACCACACATCAATCTGACTTGGAAGTATATCACTGTTTCTCAGGTGTCAATATGTTAAAAGTCTCTGGCAACATTGTGGATCTACCTAAAGCAAATGGACTGCAGCGGTTCAAGAAGTTCAGCTCACCATTTCCACTCTGATAATTATGGATTGGAAAATAATGTTGACTTGGTCAGCAGAATCTACATTCCCTGTATGAAATTAAAAATGTATTTCATTGAATGTCTCTATACCACATGGACTGAAGGCAAGTTCAAGAAAGTAACTCCCCACCACCTCTGTTAAAGTGGAGATGGGCAATAAATGCTGGGCTAACCTGCTGTATCAATATCCCAAGAACAAAATTAACTTTGAAAAAGTTGAGAAGGCTACTTAAGATGCCAGCTGACTTCCCCTGACTGGATGAAAGGATTTGGAACCAAGGGTTTAATACTAAATCTTTACAAACCATTGGCCTCAGCTTGTGTTGTGTCTGTTCCACAAACCTATGTGGATGTACATACAAAACATGGATTGTTCACTACTGCCTTCTCGGCCAATTAGGTACGGGTAATAAATGATGGTCCAGCCAGCGATGCCCTGCGAAAGAATATTTTAAAAATTGTTCTGGTCATCAGATTTTATGGAAGGATGTCAGATCCATAGAGAATGATCTGAGAAAATTTACTGGAGCAATATGGGGATGAGGTGTTTAAATTATGCAGAAGGATGAAGAAGCTTGTGTTGCTCTGTTTAAAGCCCCAGAAGTATAAGTGGAGGTTCAGTAGAGGGTTTCAAAATTGAGGAATTTTGATAGATTTAGATATGGGGGAACTATAGGAAGGTTAAGAACCAGAAGAGATACTGATTATGTACTTTTGTAAGTGACAGTTGGCAAAAGAGATGAGTTCTTTACATGAAGTGTGTTGTGATCATCTGGAAGGCACTGCCTGTCAGTAATTAAAGGATATTTAATAGTAGCTTTGAACAAGGAATTGGTATTGGATGTGTACTTGAAATCAAGAAAAATTGAAGTGATATGAGCAAAGAGCAAGGGAGTTCAATTAATTGACTGGCTTTTTCAAAGAGCCAAGTTTTGCCCTTCTGTGCTGTATGATTCCATGGTTCAAATACGATACTGAAATTATTCATATCTTTATTAATCTACATTTGCTAAATTGTTGATAATGTACCATTTTTATTTGGATGCCACCAACATCTGATACAGTTCCACCTGCAGCTGCAGAAATCTGCCATTTTAGGTGGAACTTCAAAAAGTTGTCAACTCTCACCCATAGCTCCAATCTCCCAAGTACATTAAAAGGAAAGTCCCTGAGTACTCTCACCAGGGGCAAAGCTCAAGAGCATCCACTAATGTATTGCGATATGACAATGTTAAGTATTTTTAAGGACCTCTCATATGTGATCCACAGTATTGTCTCCGAGGCAAACTTGCAATGCCGAGACTATTAAACCAAAATTTACCATTGTATTTTTCTGTTAGAAAAAAGAAAAGATCCATATGTAACTTTGCTCATCTCTTTAAGGTCAGAATGTCTTGCTAATTGAAGTGAATGCAGTTCAATATCATTCAATTTACTAGCTGTATGGGCAGGACTTTTTTCCAGATTGGATTTCATTTTAATGAGATTTCCTTTTCTCTGGTGATTTACTAATCCCTATTCATTAACTAATCTTGGGTATGGCATATGAAGCACATTCTGTTTTTCCATGGGAAAGGAGACTGAAAGGCAAATGACATTGACCACTTTGACGGAGATTGAAAATAGCATTTTGGAATAAATTGGTGTCACTTACGCTTTGAACTTCATAATATATTTGCTCTGTTAAAGTAGTGGTATTTTAATTAATGGCATTTACTGCATCAGTGAAAGGAGATTTGCATTTATATGGGGCTTTTCATGATTATGGGCCATCTCAAAGTTTTTTATAATGTAATCTCTTTGTAATGCAGGAAGCATTGTTGCCAATTAATGCTTGCTGTTGATTTTTGTTTGGGTTTGTGATCACTGTTACCTAATAAAGGAAGTCAAAGATTTATTGCACTCTTCTGATGGTTTGAGAAGCAGCAGTTTAGACATTAGTTAATTAAGCAAAGAAAGGACCCATGAAAAATGACCAGTGCGGGAGCTATTCTGCAGAATGGAGGAGTAGAGGCAGTGCTACCCACCCTTTTGTGGTCTCTTATAGTCTTTGGTGGTCTTGGTACTCAATATTCTTTGTTCTTCCCTCTCGCTAATGTTGCAGAACTCCTGATCTTTCCCCAGTGAGGTGGTGTGTCTTGTCTCCCTATTAATAAACCTTACTTTGCGGTCTGCGCATAAATGCTATGTCAATCACCTGACACCTCTTGGCCAACAGCCATGGGGCAGCTACTCATGAGTCAAGATGACTATTGCCCCCTTGCTGCCTCCATTTGAAGGTGAGTTTTCATTCCTTCTAATCACAAAATCATCTTATTTTTGATATACTTCTTGGGTAATGGAGTAGAGTGAAGCACAAGTCCAAGATCTTGCTAATTCTTATGACCTTTCCTCTGGTGTCGTGGAAAGATTTGTTCACATTTTCAGAAGGCTAGTTACTAACGTGACACTGTCAGATGAGGTCCCAATGCTCGCAGGAAATAGAAATATCGAATGCTGAGTTAAAACATTTAAGAGGGCTCCCAATTTTCAACAGCAAACTGCCTCAAGCAGCAATGCCATAATGACTGAGTGATTGAATGGCTTTTGTGATTGAGGGATCACTATACTGGCAATAACTCCTGCTGTTCTTTGCATTGCTGCCCTGAGATCACTTGCATCCACCAGAGAAGGCCTTGTTTTAACATCTCATCCAGACGTTGGCATCCTCTGACCTTGATCAGCCATGATCGTATCAAATGATGCCACAGGCTCGAGGAGCTAAATAGCTGACTTCTGCTCCTATTCTTGCGCTGTACTCCTTCAGTCCTCCACTAGAGTACCTAGTCCTCCACTAGGTTTCTTTGTTGAACTCAAGCCATGGAGTGGGTTTTAACCCCACAGTAGGAATAAGGAATAATAATAGGCCAATTAGCACTTTGAGCTTTCTCTGCCCTTCAGATTGATCATGGCTGATCTGATTTTAACCTCAACTCCACGTTCCCTCAAGAATCTATCCATGTCTGCCTTAAAAATGTTTAAAGATTCTGCATCCACTACATTTTGAGGAAGGAAATTCCAAAGAATCTCAAACGTTGGACAGAAAAAAAAGTCTCTCTCTTAAATGGGCGTCCCCTTCATTCTAGATTGTCTCGCACAAGGACATCCTTTCAACATCTACCTGGTCAAGTCCCCTCAGGATCTTTTGTTTTAAACAAGTCACCTCTGATGCCTCTAAACTCCAGATGATACA